TTTTTTGTTAATTGTTGCACCATAATAAACATAATTAAAACTTGTTCATTTTCTAACTTCTATTTCAGAATAGGTAAAAGATGGACGCAATGAGTAAGAGAGAGATAGACGCAGTGAGTAAGAGAGAAAGATAGAAAAAATTTCAAATTTCCCGCCTTTGGCGGCCATTTTGTTTTTCCGCCATTTTGTTTTCAATTAGAGTATAATTACCTGTGTGTAATTATTACATATGTGTAATTATCACATATGACTCTGCTCCAATGAAGAGTGTCGTAACTCAGTTTTTGCGCATTTGCGAAAAATAGCATTTTAAGTTTCAGAGCTCACATAAAATCGGCATAATTGTACAAGAAACTGAATTTTTGTGTAATGGTATACAATTGGATGAAAAATGAACATTGAAATACAATTTTCAAAATTTCTTATTTTTTATGTGTTTACAATGAGTTACGACAGTCTTCATCGGAATGTACCTTAGAAATAAAACATGTAGTGTTTGTCGTAAGTTTATTGAACACACCATCTACATAAAATTGCAGAGTTATTATTGTTTATAAAATATAAAAGGTAATTTTAATGAGTTTCGAAAGTTGCCTTTTGCAACTACAGCTCTATACACAGATAAATCTAACAATATTACATTATTACCAAACGCCTCAAAATAATGTTATTCTGACTGTTCTTCAGTGGAAGTTTCTTCATTGTTAACAGTTTCCTCGGTAGTATTCTTGGCCTTATTATATGATAATGATCTATAAAATCCGTGGTACATCTCGGGAATATCACGTTTATTGCAAAGTTCCAATAACCCATCCAGTTTCTTTTTGTCCACTGGTAGTGGTTTATCATAAAGCTGTTGGAGATCAGCTCTTGAACAGCAACTTGGGCGCCCTCTTCGTTTTTTGTAAATGTTTAACGATTTTGGAGCATCAGTATATTCATATTTAAAATCAACTCTTCCGTCTGGGTTTCCTAGAAGCACTATTTCCCTGACCTTACTAATTTTTAGTTGCTGACCATCCTCGTCTGTTTTCCAATTTTGACCGATCACCAATTTTTTTAAATTATAAAAGTCTTTTTGCGACATTTCAGTCACGTCGTAGGGGGTACCTGTTACTTTTGCCATTCGAATTAGGGTTACCCATTGTTCAGGGGTGTACACAACTTGTTGTCTGTTTTTAGCATTTTCGATGACGGCGTGCATGCAATCGCCCTCGTTTTGCGTATGGCCCTTTTCAAAAAATCGATGCGTAATTTTTTTATTGAAAACACATGCTGCTAACTGGAACATGGAAAATATAAAGCGATTGCGATTTTGACCTCCGCAATTGTCCGAATAGAAGATTACTTCTTGAATGTTTTTGTTATTTGCAGCAGTATCTAAAAACTTCCATAAGCAGCTACCTATTTCGTTAGCTCCACGTTTAGCAACAGATTCATGCCAAACATAACAGTAACCTTTATGGTTGCCGATATCGTATACAGTAAAATTGTAGGTTGCGTACTTACTTTTGTAGTAAAAAATACTGACCTCTGATTTTGGGGTTACCAAAACTTTCTGTAGATCAAAACACGCAACAATAATCGATTTATTGTTTAGTGCTATTAGTTTATCTTGATCCTTTAACGAACGTGCACTATTCTTGTTAGTGATATGACTGTCATACTTTTCTTGGAGTTCGGGGTTTCCTTTATCAGTATCAGTATACCGTATACAGAGATCACACTGATCCTTCTTCGGTTTAAAAAAACTTAGATTAAACTCCCCGTTAAATATATCACGATACTGTCTGGAAGAAGCAACATTCGTTACATCCATCGTTTTTGCAAACTCCAAGTATAATCGGTACATACGCTGGATATTCAGTCCATCTTCAAGATACAATTTCTGCGTATTTTTTCTTGTGTAATGGGATGGTACTACCGGAAACAGTTTTATGTGTTCCCTAACAATCTCCTTCACATCTTCATTAATTTTGTTAGGTCGTGATTGATGTTTACCACGGTTATCCTCTTCAACTGCACCGCTATCTTTTACTTTGGATAATGCTGTAGATACCCATCTCTCCGAAATTCCTAGGGTATGCAGAAACATTGTTTTGCATACTCGTTTTTCTTGATTCTCAATTTTAAAGTAGTATTCTCGAGAAAATTTTCGGCGTGATTGAGAGTTCTGGGCAACAGTGACCTGTTTCTTATTAACTTGTTTTACACAATGAGATACGAAATCCCACTGTCGTGTGTGCGAACCTAGTTCCCAAAAGTCTTTGAATATTGACTCTTGCTTTTCTGCAACCAACAAATCTCGGCACTTAAATCTACATGAACTTGCGCACCCTTTGCCTATTTTCCTAGCTTTAATTAACTTGCCCTTCCTGTTTTCATGTTCTATTCCCGAATCTAACCCTTTTTTGGCCAGAGTATCTACCCACTGGTCAGTATTCCTTATACGTTTCCTACTTAACTTTTTTACCTTAGCTGATGATCTGCGCTTTTTCTTTTCTACGAGTATATTATTTTCTTTATCTTCTATAATAACCTGAACGTTTTCACTTAATATATTGTCCCTGTCTGTGTATTCTTCGGGTATGTAGGTAGGATCATCATCTGAACATTCAGAATAGTCGCGTCCAGAAAGTACTTCGGTTTCTTCAATGTCTTAAAGAGAAAATGATTGAAAATAGTCATACGATTTTAGAAACCCTATTGTGCATTAGTTTCGCAAATTTTCCGAGCAAAATTTATAGACACAAGTGTACCGCCACCCAAAGAATGTCAAAACTTTTTTTGATGCGACAAAACAAAATTTTAGCTACAGATACGACTAAGATTATGATTTTGGTGCTTTGAAATGCCTTATTATACCTTTGTAAATAGAATGACTTACCACTTTCATTTTCCAGACAACCATCTTCATTATCCAAATTATTAGATCCGTCATTTTCCTTGTTATGATCATCCAAGGTACATTCTGTAGAAAGAATTTTAGTTCCAGTTGCTACAAATCAGTTAAATTCGCTAATAGTTTAATAAAGAAATTAATGTTTCATTTTACCAGAAGTGGAGGCCTGTTGGGAGGTTCTTGCATTATCGTCACTATTGTCCAGGCACGTAATTTTAGAAGCTAATTCTACAATTCGCTTACTTCTCAACGACATTTTCAATTATAATAATAAACAATGCAACAAAATAACCGTCACTGTGCTTTTCCGCTAATGACTGAGTAGTGAGTAACTCGCCCCACCACACAACTCGCGTTCATGATTCTTACGAAAGAGTCGTAAGTCAAGCACTCCAGCAAACTGGCGTGTATGATTCCTACGAAAATAGTCGTAACTCAAGATACGACTATTTTCGTCGCACAATTCTCCAGCAGTTGAGTTACGACATTTAAGACACCGCGTTTGCGCAGTCACGGAGCGACATTTAGTTACGACAGTTTTCGTAGGAAAAGAAGCGGACTTTTTAAGTTCGGTTACAGTGGTAACTCAAATAGCGACAATTTCGGAGTTACGACAGTTTTCGTTGGAGCAGTCGAATTTGCTCAAACTCCAAGGATTTGATGTTTGCCTTCTCTGATAAATATGCATAGGCTGCAGTGTATACCGATACCCTACGAATAAATGTATAAATAAAATCATTCTTATTAATTTCCTTATTTTGATGACGTTGCCCCTCCCTGGAATTCTGTCTTCCGACGCCACTGGTTGTAGAGGAAAATGGGAATCACGGTTTAAGCTGATTATCTAGCAAGGGAAGACACAGAGCTGAATCACATCATTCTGAGAGCTCTTGCATCAATTAAGGGTTGTTCAATTATGCAGCCTGTAGGTTTGTCACGCGACGATGGAAAACGACCAGATGGAGTCACTCTACGTAAAAACGATATTTATTGAGTTATTTTGCAATAAAACACGAAATGGTCCGATTTTTTGGTCAAGCTGGAAAAAAATATACTTCCGGGCCGAATTTTTTGAAGTTCATGACGTAAAACGAAGCTGTTTAAACCTCAGTTGTTCCGGCGCGCTATAAATTCAAATCATACAAGTACAATCGGGCACTCGGGCGGATTCGCGAAAACGCTTAAAAATGAATAGAGAAGGGCGAGCGAAGACGTAACTATGTGCGAACGAGTAGAGTCAAGTATGCACTAGTTTCACGTGCATTTATCAATTTAAAAAGTGAAAAACCAAACCAATCTTTGGGGGCCCCCATCAGCTCCAGGTACGTGCCCAACTTTTATTTAAGTATTTGTATGGTTCGGGCGGAAATTATCATTTAACCAAAAAAAAAATATATCTTATGGTCCTTCAGTCCACTAATTACAAAAAAATTAACTTAAAATACAAACAGAAGCGATTGACGAAAAAAAAATCTTCCCTAGGAATTTTTTCAGCAAAAATATCTCTTGACGCCTGGACTAGAATGGGACACTTTACGCCTGAACAAGAATTAAAGTTGGTTACTTTTATTGAAGATATGGAAAATCGCCTGTTCGGTCTTACACCAAGAGACCCTCGAAAACTTGCTTAGCAGCTAGCAGAACAAACAAATTATCGCGGGTGACCTGGCAATACCTCCTATGTTGGTTAAGAGACGTTTTACAGGAGACAAAAAAAACTTGTCAATTTTGTAGAGAGATGGTATTTTTCAACAATGTGAAGTAGTTATTCTTTAATGTTTATTATATTATACTAAATTTAATAAAAACGCCACAATCTTACCCGGTGTTATTTTTATATAACTTGTGAGGTATTGCTATTCATGTTTTTACAGATAGGAGTTTTTGCTACAGAAATTTGTTCTCATAGGAGAATGCAGTATCTAATTAAGTATACAACAATTTTTTGAATTTAGCAAGCTTATACAGAAATTTTTGTAGAAAAATGATACCCAAAACGTAGGTTTCTCAAGGGAAAATTAATACATGGTAATAAACTTTAAAACAATACTTTAATGTAAACATAAACATGAATAAAATAAACTAAAACTAGCTGCAAGTTTCATAATCACTAAAAAAAATAAATTGGCGAGGAGAATTATTCATGTAAAATATTATCGTAGAAAGCATGTGTGTCTTTTGGCAGAACGAGTTTAAGTTCTTGAAGGTGGTTCCATTTATCCAAAGCAATTTTAGAAGGTCCCTGCAGTAACTGAGGATAGTTCATAATAGGAGGCATACATTTTGGCCTGCAAGGAAGCTCATTAAATAAATCTTGGCCATAATCCAGTTTAATATCTATGGTTCCTTGTGGATTATACCTAATGCACTTAATATCATTAATCACAGGGTCAGAAGTCTTACGACCTGGTCTTAAAGAAGTGTATCGCAAAAATTTGGAAGCGGAATAATCCTTAAAAAATGAGTACTCCAGCATTTTAGTTTTATATGGCGTGGGGGTTTTTCGAGCTTCTTTTGATATTGTCACATAGTCACTTGGTAAATGAATTTCTTTGTGCTTAAGACGTCTTTCTATCACACTATGTACAGAGTCACACTCCATTTGGGTGTGACCTGGTTCTAAGTATTTTTGAAAAATAAAAGTTTCGTGTTTCATTGCAAAATTGAGTAAAGCGTTGGCCAAGACATTGTTACGATTCTGGTAACCACATCCGTCCGAATACAATACAATTGGCTTTTTCATTGGAGTTATGCAATTTTCTTCCAAATAGTCTATAATGCAGGTGGTAAAAGTAGATGCTTTAAGTAATCTATTTTCATTTTCGGAAAACCAATAGCACATAACGTTTCGTGTTTTTAAATCAAATATGGTGAAGTTATGGCAACATAGTTTTGTTTTGAAGTAAATTTTGTTCGCCGGAAGATATGGGCATAGTTTTACTGCCTGTAAATCCATAGTCAATGTAATAATTTCATCTTTCTCAGCTTTTTCTTTATCTTTTTGTTTTTCCATTCTAGCAGCATCTTTCCTTAGGATGTGATGCCTGTATTCATTTTCTGTGACATTTCCATATTTGAATGAAAAACAAACATTACACTGATCCTTTTTCGGTGAGTATAGCGCCAAGTTTTTTTCTTTAAACGTTTTTGAAAACACATTACGACCCAATGGAGTGATGTTTCTGTCTTTGCAAAAATTATTCACATACACTTCATATAACTGGTTCATATTTTGAAAAGTGTATTCCAAATACAGCTTTGAAGTATCGCGCCGACAATAATGAGAAGGAAGTTTAGGTAAACTTTTGAAAAACTCGTCTAAAAACTTGTAACTTTCTGCATACCTTTGCTTAACGACTTCCTTAGCAGAAATTCTATTCTCATTCCCTTTCGTCATACCATATGAACTATTATCTACCCAGTATTGAACAGTTTTATACCCGATGTCCAACGTATTAATAAACATGGACCGACATACTTGTAAGTTTTCATTTCCATCGTTTAGGTAATACGTGTAGGTGCCTAATCTCCTTGAGTTCTCTTTGCCTTTTCTAAATGTTGGGGTTTTAAAAACGTGAGATGCAATAAAAACCTTCCTTTGTTCCCAATTCATGCGCCAAAAACGTTCAAAAATGTTTCTTCTGCAGTCATCCGTAAATTCTGAGCAATATCTGACTTTAGATATTCTACATTTCTTTGATGTACATGTCTCTTTTAAACGTCTTTCACTCCGTGGACAGTCCTGTTTAATTTTTTCTCCTCTTTTTTTAGTAAATCCTATGTACGCTTTTCCCTGCATTCGAAGTCTTTTGTTTTTATTTCGGACCCATTCTTCTTTTTCCGCCTTACGCCTTCGTTTTCTACCTTGATCATATTCATTTTCGTTCACTTCTTCTGTTTCATTTATGACAGTTTCTTCTAATTTATTGGCATCATCTTTTTCGGGTTCATATGAAGTACTACTATCTTGCACATCATTTGATTCATGGTCGTCTTCTACAGTTTTCTCAACTTCATTTGCAATGTTTTCTATGACATGATCTTCATCACTCGAATCTTCGTAAGGAACAAGACGATCTGTTTGCTTATATTCGACTTGGTTTGGAACTCCTATATCACAAGTAGTGGAAGTAGTATTGGTTATATCAGTTAAACAGTCTTCAAAGTTAGGTACTACTTCATCAGGATGAATGGGAAAAGCGATGTTGCTTTCTACGACCACGTTGTCGTCTAAAAATATGAAAGATGCATTTTCTAAATCGAAACATTCTTTCTCTTCAGTTTTGCTTGAGTCGACAACATCGATTTGCGATTGGGCCAATGACAGAATTTTTTCAGTGCGCCTTGAAAACATGACTATTTTGAGTCCGGAAAACCTTTGGCAGCCTATGACGGATGTAAAGTAAATAGATTGAAGAGATAGTCAAAAAATTTTACCTTCTAAATGGGGATCCAACAAAAAATCGATGTGCTATTTTCTCCTATTAAAATTATCCAGGTACTTTCAGTATAATGCAATACCTCCTATCTGAAAACGAAAATAAATTGAGGTTATTTTTAACGTAAATTTTATGGTTTAGTCGTTTAATGTACACAAATTCATCTTTTAATATTCAAATAGTGGATTATAGAAACAAAAAGCAAAACACCTACCAACGAGAACCAGTTTTCGACGTTAAACACACTACACTTGAACGGAGGTACAATCCTCTTATGACATCACCTAATAAACTGTTGATTTAGGAGATTTTGCATGACAAAAATCATTAAGATTTCAGTGGGAGAAATTGAAATACAACTTTTCAGCCATTTCGAACTTTATTTAACGAAAGGAGAAGTTACAGATAGGTGCATTAGTACGCGCCGATTATGAATCTACCAATATCTCATTTTCACAAAAAATGGCAGATAGGAGGTATTGCCAGGTCACCCGCGTTATGCCATAACTTTAATAACGCAACTAGAATAGCAGGAGAAGATTGGTTGGCTGCTTTCCTAAAAAGGCACGATGTTCTTTCCTTAAGAAAACCAGAAGCAACTTCTGCGGGCTGCGCTATGGGATTTAACAAAGTATCAGTGAGTAGGTTCTTAGAACTTTTAGTTGAAACTATTAAGAAATATAAGATAATGTCAAATCGGTTAACCACTGTTGCCAAAAGTCTAAATAAAATTATCGCAACAAAAGGGAAAAAAGCAAGTTGGAACTTTGTCAACACTGATTGAAATGGCAAGAGAGCATGGTGTGTAATTCTGCTGTGTTTCCCACCCCACTGCACGCATCGATTGCAACCCTTAGATGTCAGCTTTATGAAACGCCCTAAGCGCCTATTACGCCGATGAAATCAAGAATTGGTTGCGGATGAATCCAGGTAGAGTACCTAGTTACGTATTACCAGGTGGCTAAGCTCTTCGGAAAGGCCTTTATTCGAGCGGCGACAATGTCAGTGGCTATAAACGGTTTTAAAGCTACTGGAATATGGCCAACCAATCCAAATATTTTTACGGACGCCGATTTTGTTGCAGCCGAAACAACAGATATTGAACAGCCGTAAAATCATGTCCCGTCAGAGCCTCGATTAGAAACGCCTCCTCCACAAATTGAAAACATGATTTTCACACGAACAAAATATAATTCACTCTCCACAGCCAGGTCTGTTGAACAGATCGCCTTTTCAGATTTTGTTGCCGCGGAACAACACCACAAATGAGTTTCATCTTACTTCTCCTGAGCAAATTTTACCTATTCCCAAAGCTAGAACAAAAAGTAGACAAACAAAAGCTCGTGGTAAGACGGCTATTTTAACAGAGTCTCCTTACAAGCACGCGCTCATGGAATCAACAACAGCCAAGTCTAAAGCTGAAGCCACAAAGCGAAAGGTGTTTGACAATGCACAAAATAACGAAAACGAAAAGAAAAACGTAAAAAAACAAACCATTGTGAAAAGACAAATTGCTGATGACTCCAACTCTGAAAGTGACGTTTCCGATGTAGATTGTTTATACTGTGGCTACTCATACTTACAATCAAGTGAAGGTTGGGTTTCATGTGACTTATGCGCAAGATGGGCTCATTGTTCCTCTGCCGGAGAGGAGGACGAAGACGAGGACTGTAGATATATTTGTGAACAATACCAGAAATAATCGAAAGTTAATGCCCATTGTGTCCCGTTACGGTGCTCATTTTACCCGAGGCATAATGAGCATTTGGTTATAACAATTATATATATATATATATATATATATATATGTAAACACGGTTAATTTGATAGATTTTCAGCTAGCCGGATTTATCACATCTCCCGTAACATATACACCACATCGTCATTACTTGTGATATAAATTCTACTAGTATTACTAGCAACTAGACTTGGTTCAAAATTATCAGCATGTCGTAATGCAATATTTTGAAGAACAGTGATTTGCGTTCGAAATGGAATAGCAATCTTGTTCTAAGAGTGTTTGTGAAAGAATTAATATTAAAATGACATCCTTTTCAGTACAATGAGTTGCAATATTATTTGCATGTACTGAATATAAATTATACACATTAAAACAAATCTTATTTATCGAGATATCTCTTCAAATTTTAATCACAGATGCTTCTGTTAACACTGCGTCGGTGGCGCTCGCTTTCCACTCACGAGTGGTGGCGTGGCACCCCATCACTGCAAATACGTATTTCTCGGGTATAATCACAATAAAACGTAGTTAGGGATATGTTCATTATATTTCGAACAAAAAAAAGTAGTAGGTAATTATATAAAGCATTATAATATTAATTGTAATAATAATAATCGTAATAATAGAAATATCCTTTATTCAAATGAAGATACTAGCACAAACAGGAATACGAAACATACGTTCTTGTAACATTAGTATATGTATTAACTAATACTGTGCTATGTAAACTGGAGACAAAACTAATCTATTCTATCTAAAAAAAAAGAACAAGACTTCTATTTCATTCATCCCCTTGCTCGCTACTCTCGCCACTGTCGTTTTTATAATATCTAGCGCATATAGCATGTTGATGATCCTTGCAGACAAAATTTCGACATTCGCCACATCTCACTGTGGCCTTTTTGTCTTCTTTTCGGAGACATATAATGCAGCGACCTGTTTTTCTCTCTCGAACGTTTTTGTCTTGATTATTAGGAGCTTCTTGTATTCCTAGCATATTCCGTGCCTTCTGGCGAATAGGTCTTGGTACATTGTTATTGTAAATTCTGCGAATTATGCTAGGCCTAACAAATTCTAATGATAGGCATTTCAAAAAATTTCGTCTAGCCCCCTTTTGAAGTTTACAATTAGTCACATGTAAATTCAAAGCATTTATTCCTGCTATGTTGAGTATGTCGAAAAAGACTGTCAAAGGCCATCTTCTAGTAGTTCTACCCACATGGTACATAACACACATTTTATCGACCACATCGACGCCATACTTTGTGTACTGCAATCATGGCTGGCTTATTGGTATCTTTGTCGATTTCATCTGAATGATGCATCGTTGAAAGCATCAGAACATTTTTGTTTTTTTTTGGTACTTAAGACACAAGCGTGCATTCTTTCCGGAAAGCAAACATCGCACTTTCTAATGCTCTTCTTTTTGTAGGTATTAGGCATGGTGGAATTTCCCGTTTATTAGATTTTATGGTTCCAAAGGAAAGCTGGTTAACCATCTGTCCATTGTGACATTTCTGTTAGTGTTTTTTATCTGTTGATCAAGTCTTTTGCCAACGTCACTAGGCGAATTCGATACCATGTAGGGACCAGCTGGCTGTTTACCACAGTATACTTCGAGATTGATAGTGGTCATCGTTTTCGGATCCACAAGCAAAAAAAGCTTTATGCCGTATTTGGCTGGTTTGGACGGTAAGTATTGCCTAAATGGGCATTTCCCTCTAAATGCGATGAGTTGTTCGTCAACAGTGAGAAAACTGCTTGGCATAGGATATGACGAAGAGCAATTGTTCACAAAGAATTCTAACACCTCTCCTATAGGTGCTAGTTTATCCAATTCGCGTCTTTCAGGCCTGTCATGGATGTCGTCAAATCGAATAGAACGATATAAAAATTTGAATCTAGCACGGCACATTGTGCAAAAAACGAGTTCTACCTCAGTCCCATCATTACTCCAAATATCTTCAGTATTTAGTCTACCTTCTTTTAGAACACCTGTTATGTGTAAAATTCCAAGAAATGCTCTCATTTCGCATTTCTTGCACATGCATACTTTTCTTGGAGTGTCCGAACCTTTATATTGGTATAGTTTGTGATGAAACTTATCATAGGATTGCTGACGTAAACATGAAAACATTCCAATACTGTTTTGCCGTTTCTGGCCGCTCCGAGAGGATCGGGTACTTTCACGACTATATTGTTAAGTCTAGTGCGTGACGAAGCGGGCACCATACTATCCCACCTACTTTTACCGTCTTTACCAATGTAATAAGGTCCAGAACGTGTTGCCTCATGCAGTCGTTCATTCTGTATTCCGCTTCTATCAGATTCTTGTTCGATGTTATGCCCTTCTGGAATATCACCCGTTTCTTGTTCTGTGTCAGACTCATGAATTTCTTGTTCCACCTCACCTATTTCTTCGTCTTCTGAGCTAGATTCTGAACATTCATTGGCATCTTCCTCCTGTTCAATTTCCTCCAACCACTTCGCCCAGTGGTTTGGATCTCTACTAGTTTTTTCATATGCCATTGTAAATACAACAATTATAATCTCTAGGATACGTAAAATGAATTGAAGAAAACTCACCAGAGAAATAAAATCGAGAAACACAAGTATCGCGCAAGTGGTGCCACGGGGTACTGCGTAACCCCACTGTGACTTTTCTCGTGAATTACAATCACTCTATCGCAAACAAAAATACCTCCACTATACTAGCACGTTATACACACTACTGTCAAAGATTACCTGAATGTGGGTAGACATAACCATCCCCACTCCAGAGCTATGAGCAATGAAACCTATAGTGGGGAACTGTATGCCCCGCGCCACCGATGCAGTGTTAAAGGCAAACACATCTGATATTGTAAACATTAGATGTGCGCATGCGCAGTCAGTGCCAACTTTACGAAGACATTTCTTTGAAATTTTAACCATGTATGTCTCGAGTATTAATTAATCAAGTAACTGCTCCTTGGTGACCCCACGAGCGATTCCTAATTCCTCAATTCGCCTGTTGATTGAGCTGAATTAGAATGTGTGCCATATGGATAGTTTTAAATCTCCGTCATTTGACGATCGTTATGTTCGTAATAATGGAGAACATTTGTCACAACGTTGGTTCTATGATGTATGTACTTTCCCTACGTCAAAAGTATGCGTTAATAACTGTGTGTACTGTAATATATTAATATTATAGATATAACTGTGAAGCGTGGGGGAATGCGAAAGTGCGCCCACTCTCGCGTGTGCCTGCTTGGGGATGGTGTGTGGTACCACGTTGTATAGAATGTACCTATGTATGTACTGTTTTGTGGGTAATGAAGACATTACAAATGGCGACGAGTATTATAATTAAACGAACCTGATAAGGCAACGAAAGGCTTTGGTACGTGTGTAAAATGGCGTCCGAATAACTTGAACATTTGCGCGAATTCGACCCGGCAAATTCGGAATGGGCGCTTTTTAAAAAACGGGTGGATAATTACTTTATCGCCAACAGTATAACAGATGAGAAGAGAAAGGCGTCCATATTGCTAAATATTCTGAACGAAGAAGCGTACAAATTAATTTCCAATCTTTTTCTTCCGGCTGAACCAGAAACAAAAACGTACGTTGATTTAAGCCGATTGTTATCGGAACATTTTAAACAAAGTGATAGTTTGTTTGCGGTACGTTACAAATTTTACATGACCCGGAAATCCCCAAATGAAAATGCAAAAGAATGGGCAGCGCGAGTTATA